ATCATTCCAATCATCGGTCAAGTCGATATAATTAAATGGGAATAGTAAGTTGATCGACTTTTGCTTTAGAAATAAAGACAATTAATCTCTGGATTTAACTACTCTCTCCGTTTCTTAATATACGATTCTTTTAATTTTTCACAAGTTTTAAGAAGCAATCATTAATTATTTTTTTCAGTTATTTTTTCATTTTAATATTTCTTTATATTAGTTATTTTAATATATATTTTCTTTTTCCAAAAATAAAGTGTTCTGGAAAAAAGAAATAGATTATATATAATCCAAAAAATCAAACTTTGTGGAACAAATTTTTTTTCTAAAATATCAAACTTTCTGGAACGGAGAAAGTATCAATTTAATGATAATTAAGAGATGAATGAGTCAGGTTAAAATGAACATGTGCAGCTAGTTCCACCGCAAGATCGATGAGTCCCCACATTCTAACCGTAAACATACCTTAAATTCATTACATTCATCGTTACACATGTTCAAAAAAATGGTACAATATAATTTGTAAGTACAGTATATATACTACATGTTCGAAAGTATACTAAACAAAAAACAATCATACATAATGTTCTAATATCAAACTTCATAATATTTTATAATAAAGTACAATTTGACCATTGACCCCCATGCATATCAGTAAACAGTTACCCTCGTAGTAAAGTCCAAAAATCCACATGATCTACAACAGCAACCAGAAGATGAAGTGATCCTTTCCACAGTATTTTGAGTTTTGACCCATTCAAAAGTTTAATTGACGACTAAATTTTGTCAGTCTATTCGTACGATTAAAGAAAATTACAAGATTTCGAACATGTGACACAGACTCGTAGAAACTACCATACATAAATCAATTAATAAATTAAAAATCCATTTTTGGGGACAATTCAGAAAAGCTAAAAGACTCAAAAGAGTTATCCTGTGTCTCCAACTAAAATAGAAATAAAGCAAGAAACACCAGTTATGTCTGTACATGGAACCCACTTCACTTATCATAACTGGTTTTAACTGTTTATACACCAGTAGAAGCTAACTACTAGAATCCATCTCACTTATAGAAACTCTTCGTTTCTGCTTCTCAATCATCCAATTCACCTAATAAGCTTTAGTCGAGAATTGGTTTTGAATTATTTATGATGTGATATTATGTGATGTGCAATGAGACACAAGTGAATTTGGAAGCAAATAGACAGAGAGACAATGACAAAAAGAGAGAGCCTTTTCGTAATCACAAGCAAGTATGAGTTTTTTCGGACCACTTGTCCGTGGATAGCTTGTCTTCTTCCCTAATCCGGCAAGCTTTTTGCCACCTCTAATGGATTGCTCCGTTTGCTAATGTATACTTGTAGCTTTTGTCAAAGACTCCCGACCCAACACACACCTAACTAAAGAAAGAGCATTGAACATGGATTGCAATCATAAGATTTTCCATTTACTTTGTTATCCTCCAAGCTGGATGGATTGTCAATACAAACATATCGAAGATCCACATTACATAAAATCACTCAACTCTAATGTCTTCCCAAAAGAGAAATACTCTGTAAGAAAAAAGCTTGACAAGAAAAAAGTTTCTTTTTGCAGTGAACATGTAGTGGGGACATGCTATGTTTAAACTTAACTTTGATCACGTAACTCAGCATGGGAAAGTAAGCATTTTAGTCTTCAATAATTAATGGCATTGACAAAAAAATATGAACATTCCTGAACAAGGGATGTGATGGGACGACAAGATTTACAAAAGCAGAAACCAAATGTCTAGAGAAATGCTGCCAGTTCCGAGAAAAATCCAGTGAGCATCATCCAAAATGATTCTACTTTTGTATGTTTCAAACAAGTTGAGAAGAGGAAAGAAGAGACACAGGTTCAAAGTAACACGATGTTTGAAACGTCACATCGGTTTTCCAAAAATATCTTCTTGCGTCAATAATCCATCCAAGAGAGCAGAACAAACTACGTGAATATAGGAGTGATTGAAATGTTTGCCTAACATAATTTCTGTTTACTATCACAGGTAAGCCTTATGAGCTGTTGCCATTTAGCTTTTCTTTGGATTGAAGATCATAGTGAAATGGAATATACTTCTTCTTCTTCGACGCTTCAGCTGAGACATTACAGTTAACATCTGTGCTACATCATCAAAACCCACAAATTCATTCTGCAAAAATCAACAAGATTAAGTTGCCTCGTTAGAAAGAGAGATCATCACCATATTACACATGTAAAGTTCAAGTTTTTATCAGAGAACATCTGTTGAAGCAACTAGAACGCATAAAGATATCAATTTTGAGCTATCAAATCAAATATATAATGAGCACTCGCTTTAATAATAAACTTAAAACTATACAAACGGCCGAGCTGCTTTATTCAAAATCCAAACTTTACCTCATAAAATGAAGGAAATGAACACATACTCTCGGGTTTCCGCCGATGATTTTGGCGACACGGAGGAGAGAAAGCTTCCGGCTAAGATCCTTGAGCTAGCTGTGTCTTCGTCTCGCCTCGCAGCTCGTGAGCATTTAACCGTAGCTTTCATCAATAGAAAACAACAAATTTCAAAAACCCACGAGGCAACAATAGCCGGAAAGATCTCTGTTACACCAATCGCGATCGGCTCCGACGAGGTTGCTTTCCTCTTCGCGGCTCTCTCCGGCAAACGATCCCGTGGGCTAGCGGGAAAGCCACAGTTAGCCCAATGGGCTTTCATCATTGCTTAACCTAAACTGTGAAAAACGCTCGTTTCTAACATTAAAGCCCATATCTGCAAAGCCCAAAGGGAGAGCTTCTGTTTGCAAAGCTCACTGGGCTAATTGTGGCTTTCTCAAACTGTGAATAACGCTCGTTGGTAACAATGGAAAACAGAAGCCTATCAAATGTTCATTATCTATACTAGATGAATATCCGCGCGATGCGCAGATTTTTGTTATATAATATAGTTTGTTAAAAAGTTTAGTTAAAATTTATTTTATCATATATTTAAATTTTACTTAAGGATATTGTGTATTTGAATAAACATGCAATATGTATATACGTATTATGTAAACATTGACTATATATGTAATAAATAGTTTATTGATCATGAAATGTGAGATATGTTATGCGTTGTATATATATAATAAATTAAATAGATAGTATATTTTAGAGAAGTACTATATAAGAAAAAAATAATTATAGAAACTCTTCAAATCATAATATAAGTAGAGACAACTATTTTTAGCAGATCGTATTTGTTCTTGGCGCAGACTAATTAAACATTTCTAATACTACTTTTTCGGTCACATATCACGCTGCAAATCTTAATTTATTTTATTTTTATTCTGATTATTTTTGTGAGGTTTTCATTACATTAATAATAAATTAAAATATACATTTATCAAACATATAAAAACCAAAACAAATATATTTAAATAGCACACACTTAAAAAGTAAATAATTAATTGGTCTAACTTTAATTACATAATAATAATAATTTATTAATTACAAAAATTAAAATAACAGATATTACTCTCATGTACTAAGGTGGCACTCAACTTGAAAGAGTTGGCCATCTTTTATATTATAGATTCTATAACCTGAATTGTAGTTAAGAACTGATCAGTAAACGAATTACATTTTCTTATGCAGTGAAAATTCTAAAGGTTAAAAGTTAAAACCGAATACACACCCTCGATTGTTTTGTAAATCAAAACACAGAATATTCCTCGTGTTTCCAAATGTTACAGATTCTCAAGAAAAGATCCACATTAGTTAATTAAATATTGAAAAGTTGAGAAGAAGATAGATAAATTGTGGTAATCATACAAAAGCTCTGTCGGGCTCTAACATTCAAGGCATCACGTTGTCCTTTTATAAGGAAAACTCCATTCATACTCTTTTCTCAAGATTTTATTTTATTAATCTTTTTTTTTTTTTTTTTTTCGACCGTTGCCATATGTCTCGTCTCTCTCTGACACAGATTCAGTGTTTCATTTATCATATAAATATATAAAAATAGACAAACAAACAAAAATGAAATTAAATAAGATTGAAGTAGTATTTGGAAATGCCTCGTGAAAGGATGTCCCACGGTCCACGCCCGGCATATGCATCCCAGTGACAGTGAGCATGCAATACATTAACAAACAATAATTATACTTAATTGTTTGATTTTAGAAATTATGTGTTTCTTATGTGTAAAATATATATTGTATAACAATATTTGTCTCATGCACTATTAGATTTTTTCACTCAGACACTTAGTTGGTGCCCCAATTAATTATGCAAATAGTCTTAAGTGCCAACCAAAAAACAAAGGTACACTCTCTTAACTCTCACGTTAAATGTAATTTACTATCCAAATTTGTGGCTATATATCATGACATGAAATTAAAAGGTTAAGTGTTTGTATTGATTCATTCAGAAATTACTAAGGTTGATATTCGCATAATTCTCTCTTCATTTCATATTCTTTATAGCTTTTCATCCGATTTTACTATATAGAGAACATTCCATCTAACTTTGAAATAATGGACGATTTGGTATAAGTTATATACTATATATTTGTACTTTTGATATCAAAGGATCCAATGTGCTTAAAAAGTATCATATGGTCCGTGTCCATAGCTGAATAATGTATACTCTTCTGTTTCTCTATTCATATTTGTAACCATATCTATCGAACCAAAAACCCATTAATTCAAAACTTTTGGTCACCTGGATTACCATAATTAGTAAATTAGTTTAACATTTACACGTAATTTTAAGGTTCAATCATCATCACAATATATAATACATTCGCGGTACCAAAAATTGATTATACATTGCTCTTGTTTACTTAGGAACGGCGAATGAGAAAGTAAAATAACAAAATGTAAGATATTTAGGGAAATGAGAAAGTAGAACGTGAGTAAGTTATAAATGACGTCTCAACAACTATAGATTATTAATTGATACATATATGGACAAAAAACTTTTATCGAACGAGCGTTACACTCTTAACTCCCTTTGTCTCTATTCCAATCCAATCCTCTCTCTCTCTATATACGAGGCGAGTAAAAGACATCCTCCTCATATGATATGACGCACATATAGAGATATATTAACAGTCTCATCAACATTTCTTTCAAGTTCTTGCAACATTTTGGTACTTTTAGGTTTCTTACGGCCAAAAGGAAAAGAAACAAAAAAATGAAGGGACGTATGTTCTGCGCTTCGCAAGCATCAACAGCCATATGTTCAAGCATGGACCACAATCACAAATCAACCACCACCAACGACGTCGTCAAGAATGAACAAAGCATTGGCCGAGCTATCGACCGCCACAATCCGATCATTAAAGATGGCCGGAGATCCACCGTCGACGACTACATTAGAATACCCGCTTCTCCCGCCGACGGTGAGATGAGTGAAAAGAAACTAGAGACCTATAAGGGGAGGAGGAGCTTCACTGGCCGGAAAAGCACCGGCGGTGGCGGTGGTGGAGCGGCGGCGCTGTTGAAGCTCATCACGAATGACATGAGCTTGGCGAGGAAGAGTTTCAGCTGTGTTGCGAGACCCGCGTGCGACTTTGTCAAAACCCCTCCCGGCTCAACAAGGTATCTTTTGGGATCCGACCCGGGTTGTCTTTCCGGGTCTACGGCTCATGACCCGGATAAGGCGGCAACTGCTGAATCTCCTGCTGGTGAAGAGATAAAGCCGTCGTCGTTGTTGACGGAGAAAGAGCCTAGTGGTGGTGGTTCAGAGAAGGTAAGTTCGTTTGTTATTGGCAATTTGGCATCATAATTAAGTTGCATAAATGTAAATGAATGGTGACAAGAGAGTAATGATTAGAGTTGCATATATTTTTTTGTTCAGGAGCAGCAGGTCGTTGTTCTCAAAGTGTCTCTCCATTGCAGAGGCTGTGAAGGAAAAGTTAGGAAACATCTGGCCAGAATGCAAGGTGATTCCTCCTCTATTTACGGCAATGCCACTTCCTTCTTCTTTTTGATTAGATATCGGTTTACTACGAAATACATGAACCGGACTTGATTCTAATTCCAGGCCCATTTTGAGTTTGGCTCGGGTGTAGACAATCTAAACCGGTTTATGGTCTTAAGCTTGTTAATAACTAATGATTTTTTTAATTCCTTTTTGTAGGTGTGACATCCTTCAACATAGATTTTGCTGCAAAGAAAGTGACAGTGACTGGAGATATCACTCCCTTAGGAATATTGGATAGCATCTCAAAGGTTAAAAATGCCCAATTTTGGACAGCTCCAACGATCCCAAAGCCCAATCTGGAAACTCCAAATGCCTAATTTACTTTTATACTCTAGTTGTAATAAAACAAATGGTACAGTTTCAAAGTTTAGCCTGCACCTATGTTTCATGAGAGCTTTCGTAGGTTTTATCATGAGAGTGTACGCTTCTTCCTTATCCAGCCACCTCTTACAATGATTGAAACTTGTCATTACACATGTTTTTAGTATAATTAATAGTTATTATGTAACTTTCTTATAACAACCGAATATTTTCTCTACGAGATTTCTCTTATCACTAGCTCTGCTATGAGTTCATCGGTCAACATTTTTTCAATCTCTTTACCTATCACTTCAACGTCACCTTCAAAGCTCGGCCACTGCAACTCCTTCTCCTTTGTATCTCTACTTGGTTTCATGTATTTTATAGTGACGAGCTCGCGCAGAGTTTCATGCATCCTGTATATATCCCATTTTGGCCAGACATTTGTGGGTTGCAGATCCATGAACCGCTCGAAGAACTCGAGAATCTCACTGTTTATCCTATCAAAAAGGAACTTTCTTTCTAGCCGAGTTGAGTATTTCAGACCGGAGTACTTCTTCTCAAGATCCTCAAACAAGGATGGATCAACAGGTGATTCAGAAGAGTGCCATGTTGTCACGAAGCTTTTAGGGCTCCAGTCGCTGAACTTGGAGTTTGCTAAGATATCAGCCAAGTATAGTGACTTCCAGTTTTCTCCTGGCTCTTGAGTGATCAACGTCTCATCTGTTACCATGGATGATTCCTCTTGATATGCGTCTTCGTCGCTTGAAACGAGCATGTCGCCCTCGTTGTAAGTAGCCGACTCGCGTTTTAGTAGCTGAAGCTGCATTCTAAGCCCTGGATATGAAGAGAGATCCTTAAATCATTCTTTAAGTTCTTGAAACATTTCAGTGTTTTCGTTATCTGCCGAAGCAAAGATAGCGATGATTGAAAATTTAACTAATTAGAAGAATCAAAGGACCACCAAAAAGATATGAATGAGATACCTTGAAGATCCGCGCTAAGACTCTCAAAGCACTCAGAACTGGATGAAAACTCATCCTCGAAAGAAGTTTCTGGGATTGAAACTTGACTTGGTTCATCTCCTTCCTCTGCACACTCCTGAGCCTGGAGTTGAGGGATAGAAGAATGATCGACTTCTTCGGTTAACCTCCCCGAGATATCCTGGAACATCATCAAAAGAACAGAGCATCTGTCAGTACAACAGCGGATTGAGAAGGCTCTAGAACACAAACTCATGATGTTGTAACATTATTTCTCACTTACATGGTCAGTTAACGAGGTAAAATGGAGTGGTTCCAAGGATGAGTTACTCTTGGCATCCTCATAGTCTGAACCATTCTCAGTATCTAAATCTGCATGAACTGATAAGCTGCTCTGTCTTTGTAAAACAGGAAGCTTCTCTTCAGATAACTCACCATCCAGATAAAGAACTTTGCTTGAACTTGGTCTGTTGATCTCTGACGAGCTATTGTCTGAATAGTGAGAATTGTTAGACGAGAAAAATTCCCTGCGGCGAAAAGAACTCTCCTTCTCTAATCCACTTCGCGTAGTTAACTTCTTAGGTAGCACAATCGTGTAACCAAAAGTTTTGTCCTCATGCATGATTGTTCTCGGTTTCGAAAGATTTCTTCTACCGTTACCTTTCCAACCATCTCTACTGCTAATTCCAATCGGCTCTGGCGACTCAGATTGTCCAACATTGCTTTTACTAAGCTCATCTTGGAAAGTGATCCCGTTAAAACTTGATGGTATCGACTCTCTGTCTGAAGTTGCAAGCATTTCAGCCAATGTGTTCCTTCTTCTAGTTTCTATCTCTTGCTCAGAATTGTGAGACCGCTTCCACCTCTCTGACAGTCTCCTCATGGTCTCCTTACTCACAGATGATTCCTGTGACCTGGAAGACAGAGATCGACGGTGGTTCTTGCGGCTAAAGTCAGTTCTTGCTCCTGAAATCACTGACATTAACTTTGATTCACTCCCTGATGAGCTTTCATCCCTTGCGCAACCTGTAAATCTTGAAATCTCAAAGTTCATGGAACACTCATTGCCACAACTTGCCTTCATTTGTCTAGATACTATTCTGGCAATCTCTCTGGAATCTCTTGACTTGTTTCTTAATAGACTGACATCTTCTTTAGCTTTCATATTGCCAAATGCTTTTGACTCCTGCTTGCTGGCGCATGAAAGCTTACGATCTGCCCTGACCTCATCACAAGAAGAGCTCTTTGATGGAAGAGTTCCACCAGCAGTCCGTAACTTCCCAAGGTTAGGTTTCAGAACAACAATCTCTGTCGGTTTCAAGCTACTTCTTTTCCTCTGCTGCTTCTTTGATAGGTCAACTGTATCAGAATGGCTGGGACTAGCACCATGACATTGAGGTAACCTGTGACTCTTCCCTAACATCTCTCTGTCCGCTTTCAGATTTTTGAGATTATCTACATGATTTGAGCACGTGGACGACTTCGAAGTTGTAGCTTGACCGCACTGTGGTTTTGGAGCTATGCCTTGAAGATGAGGCAACTGTTTCGTGAATAATGAATCTGGCTGACGAAGAAACTTCAGTAAGAGGTCCTTGTTGGAGTCTAGAGCTTCAAGAGTCTCATTAAACTCTCTAGAATAACGGAGTTTCTCATCACTCGATAGACGCTTAGCCTCCATGAACTTGTTGCGTATAAACGCCATCTCCGCCTCTTTTAGATTAACATTCACACTCCTCTCTTGCAAACCTGTACCGCTCTTTTCCATTTCCGCATCGGAAACTTCAAAGACATCTTTGAATCTCCGCTCGTCCATTGAGCCCCTCCTAAGAGATTCACCACCACCATATGTTTGTTTCCCGCGGGTGCGTTGCTGAATCTCCACCGGCTTGGCTTCTCTGCGAGGAGAACTCTGTGGAGGCAGCACATCAAGACCCATCAATCTCGCTATAATGCTGGGAGATGTTCCTCTAGATCCGTTCTGCATTGACATTTCTCGTGGTAACAAAGTTTTCATTGCTTCACCAACTACAAATGCAACATCAAGTTTCAATACATTGTGTGTATGTCGTCTATATGCTCCTCATATCAAAGAGAACGCTTACCTTGTCTACACCTAAAGCGTCACAGAGGCAAGAGTTACAGACTTGTGCTTCTGATAGTGTCTTTCCTTATCCTGCAAAATGGATCCAACAATTAGAATGTGTTTGAATTTTTTTTTTTAGCACAAAAAAAAAGAAGAAGCAAAAAGTTTATGAGCAATCGTTACGTGTAATTTAGATACCATAAACCTGTTGATATTAAAGTAACAAACAAGCAAAGCCAATCATGACACTACCAAACATATAAAGACATGAGATTTTTCAACAGAGACAACGTCACAAATTTTCCATCAACTGTTTATCTGTAGTTTTTACTCAGGAAACAAAACAAGAGTGATGTTTGTTTTCTTCTCCAGAATCAGAGTTTATCAATAAACTAATCTGAGTTATTAAAAAATCAAGTAATGAAAAGCTACATTTTACTCAGTAATTGAAATCCCTGAACAACCCAATATGGAAATGATCAGAAGCAGAAAAGAAGGAGATTGCGTTTTCCTTCGTTTTCTCGGGAAGCCCAACATGGAAGAAAAAGAGGGAAACGGAAGAGAGAGAGACGAGCAATTCTAACCTTGACAAGCACTTGCTACTGTGGAAACGAATCGGTCGCGTTAAATTAGATTCGCGAGACGATATGAGTTCAATTTTCATTCACTCGGTAGTTTTGAAATTTGACGATAAGATTATATTAAGAGGGAAATCTAGATCGGAAATTTGATAAAATTCAAAAGGACATTTCGCAGAACTCACGGATCCAAATAGAAAAATGGTGGCGATTCTCATCAATTACAGCTCACAACAGAAGAAAGAGTCTGGGCAAGAGAGAGAGAGAGAGAGAGAGAAGCAGGCGACGACTCCGGCGTTGGAGAGACTGCGAGGGGGAATTTAGTGTGATTTTGAAAGTTCAAGTTAAAAATTAAAAAAATAAGTTTTTTGTTTTGCTTTCTTTTCCTCATTTCCTTATCCGGCTCGCTCCTCAACTAAACCGGCCGGTACAATTGGAAATAGAAAACCATATGAAGTAGGAACCGTGCACTCCCGCCTCCTATCATCACATGAAGTCATGAATACCATTCAAAGCAAAGATCCTAATAACTCTTGCCATTAAATTTTAACTACGAGGAGAGATAACTTGTTAGCGCTTCAAAGAACAAGCAAGCAGCACTCGCTTTGACCTAAAAGAAACAAGAAACACTCCATCATCTACACTCATTGCAAAGAGTAGAGAGCAGGAACATTACAATAGCTAGTGATCTATACATACATCCCCGAAAAAAAAAACATATTCATGCTTCCATATTTAGTATTCAATTCATGCTTCAAAACACCATCATGGTATTTTTTGCTTTTTTTTTATTGACTAAGCTGAACTCTGATCAACATTTATGAAGCTGAACTTTGTTATTTTTGGATAAAAGGGCATACTTAGACCACAACAACAGAATCATATAAACTAAATCATAAACTAGAAGTTAAAATTCAGTTTATGATGTAATAAATTAGACTTTAGGCGTACTAGCTTGTTACATCACACCACCAATTTATTACATCATGTATTCATTCAGTTGTTTTTCACCTTGTTTTCCGCAGACTTAAGATTGGTTATGAGCTTCTTATCCTCCCTTGCTATCTTCTTGATAGCCTTCTTCTAGTTATTTTCCATTCTTCTCACTTTTTCCTTCTTGATATCTCTTCAGTTCACTTTCTTCTAAGCCTACACAACACAAACAGTAGTAACATGAAATCAGATCAATACTAAGATCGATATTCTGCTGCTCAGATCAATACTACTTAAATCAATAATCCACAATATCTACTGGTCAATACTGCTCAAATCAATAATACACAATAGCTACTATTCAATACTGCTCAAATCAGTAATTCACAATATCTAATATTCACAACTTAACATACTCAAATCAATACTGTTTAAATCAATAATCCATAATATCTAGTGTTCACAACTTGTACGTACTATTTTATTTTTTTACTGATCTGGTTCAAACTCTTATTAAGTTTTTTTTTTCCAAAAGATTAAAGATGTTGATCAATAAATATTAACCAACTAGTTTTTTTAAAATGACGTTTAGAACGTTTGGTTTTTTTTGTATGTAGGCATATTCAATTTTTTGCAGGTTATGGTGGACTGTTTTCCTTTCTATTTTTGATAATTTCATGGATTTAAAGCCTAATCCAAAACTAATCCTACATATGAAGTGTCGAATAACTCCAACCTTATAAAACATCTATGAATTTTTTTAAGTTGTAGCGAATTTGTCAGTTTATCATAATAAAATAATGTGTCTATTTTATTTTCAGGACATAGCATTAACATGCTTTGTTTCACTAGAGGTTTTTAAATATACTCGTAAATTTCAACCGTTTTATGACAGAACGGTTTCATAGTTTATACAAATTCCTGAACGTTAATCATCTACTTCTTAATTAATTTAAAATTATTTACTCCTAACCAAAGAGTAGATATTATGGATTATTGCAAAAGATGATTATTATGCACCAGTGTGATTCTTAATTAATCCATCAGTGTTCATATGCACCACGCTTACCATTGTGTTATGAAGAATCACACTGATGGAAACTTCTCCCTTTTTTAATTTCCTTTATCTTTGACCGTGAACAGTTTCTTTTTATGTTTGTCTTGTTGCCTTGGTTTGGTGGTAGTGGTAGTTAGTTTCAAATGGAGTCTCTTTGAAGTTAATGTATTTGTGTGTTTTAGTTTGTTAGGGCTTTAATGTGTTTTGTACACTTGCTTAAGCTTTGTACTTCTGTTGAGTTTGTTGTATATGCTTAATGATTATCTTATAATACTCATTTGTGCTTTCTTTCTCACACACATAGTTTCTCTTCGTGTTCCTTTTACCAGGTTCTTCTTTGACGGAGGTATAGATAATTACACAACAGGGGTTGTTTTAAAACTCTAGACCCAAGCAATGCAGACTCCAAAACCTAGGTGATAATCTTCACTCTTGTCCAAATCTTTCTCTGTTGTGTGTTCTGTTAGGGTCTTTGATGTGGTCATTGGACTGTTGGTTGTGGATTTTGAAGTCTTGTGATCTGTTTGGTTTACGGTTTAGCGTTATTGTGATAATGATAGGCCTGGAACGTTGGAGGTGCCTCAGAAGAAGTCTCCTGCGGCAACTCCTAGAACTGCTCGTAAGCTCAAAACTGCAGAAAGCGACACTGTTTCGTCTCCAAACCCAAAGATGAGGACACCGAAGACTCAAAGCCCGAAAGTAGTTGCTGATCGTCGTTCTCCAAGAACCCCTGTTAATGAGGTACTATTAGCTTTGCACAATGCTTTTGTTGATCACTGCCTATATAATTTGACCCATACTAGTCTCAGTTTCAGCCTAGGATTCAGTCTTGGCGCTGCTAAGTACTCTTAGGTGTTTGAAGTTTGTCTATGTATTTGACAACAACTAGTTAAACCTTGAAAGAGAAATGTAGTACTTGTTCTGTTTGTTAGTACTGTTGGCTTGTTGCTTGATATGTGTGATACATTTATTATATTCGTTGCTGTTTCATGAATGCAAGATTCAGAAGAAGCGCACAGGGAGAACACCCCAAGTGGCATCTCAGATATCTCAGCTGCAAGATGAGCTAAAGAAAGAAAAGGAACAGCTTAGCGCTTCAGAGGCTTTAGAGAAGGAAGCTCAAGATGAAGCAGAGGAGACAAAAGCAGCATTTGATGGAGATCAACGCCTCTGAGGATTCAAGAATCGATGAGCTTCGTAAGCTCTCTCAGGAACGAGACAACGCGTGGCAGCCTGAACTCGAAGCAATGCAGAGACAGCACGCCATGGATTCCGCTGCTCTAGGCTCCGCCATGAACGAGGTCCAGAAACTGAAAGCGCAGCTCTGTGAATCTGAGTCTGTCGAGAGCTTGAGAATGGAACTCAACGAGACACTGTCTCTCGTTGAGAAACTCAAAGGTGGGCTGTTTGATGCAAAGGAAGGGGAAGCTCGCGCGCATGAGATTGTTTCTGGAACAGAAAAGCAATTAGAGATAGCGAATGGGATGAAGATGTCTGAAGCTTGTAATTCCCTTACAACTGAGCTAGAGCAGTCCAAATCCGAGGTAAGGTCACTAGAGCAGCTAGTGAGACAGGTCGAGGAAGAAGATGAAGCTAGAGGAAACACCATTGAAGCACTCATCATCAGTGGAAGAAGAGATAAATGCTGCAAGTCATGACATCAGCCAACTGAAATCCGCTGTGGAAGTAACTGAGAGAAGGTACCACGAAGAGTATATCCAGAGCACGTTGCAGATAAGAACTGCTTTTAAATAAGTCGAGGTAGTAAAATCCGGATATGCGCAGAGAGAGGCCGAGTTAGGTGAAGAACTGAAGAGAACCAAAGCTGAAAGAGAGGCTTTGCATGAACGATTAGTGGATAAGGAAGCTAAGCTGAGGATACTCGCGGATGAAAACGAGTTACTGAACTTGAAAATCAAAGAAACAGAAGAAGTAAACTTGAACCAAAAAGAGCCTGAAGTTACGGAGCAACTCAAGAAGCTAGAATCTGATCTGATGGAGTTGAGAGCGAACCTAATGGACAAGGAGATGGAGCTGCAGAGCGTAATGTCGCAGAACGAGAGTCTCGGGACGAAATGGAGGGGATGCAGAGCGAGAAGAACAAGGCTATCGACGCGGCCTTAGCGAGGCTAAGTAGCCTGACGGAAGAAGCGGATAAGAGCGGGAAGAGAGCAGAGAACGCAGCAGAACAGCTAGGGGCAGCGCAAGTCACCAGCACGGAACTAGAAGCTGAGCTTAGGAGACTCAAGGTTCAGTGTGATCAATGGAGAAAAGCAGCTTCTATGCTCTCTGGTGGTAACAACAACAGTAACAGTAACGGCAAGTACGTGGAGAGTCCAATGAGCAGGAACGTGAACATGTCGCCTTATATGGATGATGACTTGTCTTCGCCGAAGAAGAAGAATGGGAGTGTGCTAAAGAAGTTTGGTGTGTTACTGAAGAAAACTCAGAAGTGATAACTAAAGTAAGAAAAAAAAAGAAGCTACCATCGTTTTCTCATCTCTGTAATATTCGCTTTGATGTTTTTCGTAATGTTTCGATACGTAGACATGTTTATGTTGCCTAAACTGTTTTGTGAATCAATTCATGCTCAACTATCTACTACAACCATCTAAATCACCAAGAAAAAGTCTGCAACACAAAAACCAACAAAATCACATAGTACCAAAGCATTCATCTTCTCATTACCATTTTTTGCAAGACAGTCTTCATCACTCCCCCGTTCAACTCTTTGATCCAGCCATCTCTCGCTGTGCCTTCTCCGCAAAGAGCTTCGTAGCAACCATATTATCCATAAAATACTCTCTGTAAGGATGATTCCTCGGGACAAGTTTCCTAAACTTCTCAAACTGTTTCTCCGCCTCGTCTTGCTTCTTGAGCACCGTGTATATGATCCCTTGACAGAGATACGGCCTGAAATCTCTCGGCTCTTCCTTCACAAGCTCCTGATACAGCTTCAGTGCTTCGTTATGCTTCCCTTCAATGACCCGAATCTGCGCCACTAGTAGCTTGAAATCCCTAAGGTCCTTACGGTTCTTCTCCTTCTTGCACCTCTCCATCGCCACCTGAATCCTCTTCTCCACCGCGTTCATATCATCGCCTGATTCGGAATAAGCCATAACCAGTCCGTGATAGGCCTCGACACGAAGCGGATCCTTGGCTAGGATCTCTTCAAATCCACTCTTGGCTGACTCTAAGTCTCCACTGTGACTAAAGATGTTAGCTTTCAAAATGGGCCACTCTTTCTCCTCTGGTTCCAACTCTATCAACCTATCGATCACCTCTATCGCTTCTGTAAGCTTCCGAGATTTGATCCTTACCTCCATTAACGACCGTAGAGCTTCCACGTCTTCAGGGTGAGAAGCGAGATGCTCTTCGAGCGACCTCACTTCTTCTTCCAACGAAACGTCTCCGCTTCTCTGTTCAAGAGATTCCACCGACGGCGTCGCCGCGAGAGGAGCCGCAATCGCCGGCGGAGGTTTGAGCTGGAGATTCGCGAAGAACAGCGCCGCTGCGGCGGTGAAGGTGATGCAGGTGGATTTGAGGAGACGGGAAGGTAGTGACTGCAAAACTGGGAGCCTCGGGTCTTGTGACTTCGATGAAGAAGCTCTGATAGAAGCGCATTTGAAGGACGAAGTTGATCGGCGTAATGATCTGAAAGGAAGCGACGAAGGGTTTTGGGGGAATGATGCAGAGAAGTGAGTGACGGAGAGGCGAATTGGCTGTTGATTGAGCTGTAGCTTCCCAAGAGACTCCATGACTGCAGAGTGCAGAGAGAGAGATAAACCCTAAAACCTTTGAGCGAGATCGAGGAGGAAGATCAAATCCCTTCTACTTTGAGAATCTGCTGTAAGTTACGATGCCGTTTCGGAAAGAAATTTGTACCAAAGTTTGGGCCTTTTATATGGCCCGGAACTAGAAGCAGTTAGTATCTCACATACCAAATGCTAATCTCTTTCCTTAATCCGTATTAGTGATCTAAACAAGCCTGTATGTCGTTTCATTTGCTTTTGTGATACACAAAGATGAATTGAAAACTTGTGTGCTTTTAGGCTTTTGTCTCATGTATAGCTTCCAAGTAAGATCTTGTCCAAAAGATATTAACTTTTTCTTACAGTTTGGTGAGTTTCCGAGAGTTAACAGCACAGTCAAGAACTTCTTTTGTCTATATAATTGCAGTGCTTTGTTCATTGGGTGAAGAAAATGACATTACTATCAAGGTGACTCATAAATTTTGGACCAGGAGATTCGATTGAAGCTCAAAAGATTCCATTTTCATAGCTCAAACATTCCCACTCGGAACCATTGTGAAATTCTAAAACTACATTATTTAAAAACCAACAATAACTGTGGGGACGATTTCACAGAGATTGAGCACATAAACTCATTAAACATAACCTTAAGAGAAAGGAGATAAAGAGTGCTGATTCATCCATGAACAAAGGAGAATTTCGCATAGAAAGAGGATAGACCGACGGAGACAAAACAAAACAGACTCTTGAAGAGCATCCACCAACAGACTTTAGGATGACAAGAGAGATCCACACAAGCTTACTTGTACTCAAATGAAGGCACCGGAGGCGCATCGAAACTCTCTAATACCTTCGTTTCGCTTCCGCTGCTCGTTTGCACCTCATCCTCCTTCTTCCCAAAAAGACTTCCCACCCATGATGATACTGATGATGATGATGATGATGAAGCAGTATTCTCCGGCATCATCTTCTGTCCTTGACTCTGCATCGCCTGATCTTGACTCTGCATCTGCCCCATCTGCATTCCAGGAATCCCCTGCATCCCGGGAGGCATTCCAGGCATCTGCTCCTCCATTTGCATATTCTGAGGCTGAGCAAGCATCTTGTTCAACGCTATACCAGCTCCTTCAATCAAAGCAAGCAAACATCCTCCAAACATGGCCGCTCTCGCCGCTGCGCTAGGCCCCTGCCGCATCGACAGAAACCCTCCGGTCGCAGCGCCTGCGATGATGGAGTTCCATGGATCCTCCTTCTGCCTAAAGTACACCATGGTGCAGTCGAATGTCGAGAAGAGACCTCCCCAGACGGCAAAACTGCCTCCGAGACGAGGAGCGTTCATGGTCACCGCTTGTCTCCCTCCGACGAAACGACTGCCTTTTGGGGAATTGTATGTGCCTTTAAGGAAATGAAAGGCGGATCCTCCTACAGCTCCCATGCCAAACGCACCACCGATGTCATCAAGGATACGGTCAGGGCAAGGCTCTCGTGATGACTCCGGAGTTCCCATCCTGATTTACACGAAGATCCTTCAGGCAATGATTCTCTCAACCTGTAAGTGATAACGATCATAAGAGGAGTATTGATTGATAGAAGAAGTACAAAGAGGGCGAAATTTATTCATCATTTCATTGTTTTGATTCTCAGGTACCATCGAAAATAGGGTTTCTAAGACACTGCAATCAACAAATAGATCCCAGACTGTTTAAAGGTTAAAGCTTTCTACAATCGAACAGAGGGAATTAGGGTTTATCAATCTCCGTGCTTTTAGATCAACACAGAACCTTAGCAAAGGTTGAAAATTTGTGTACAGAGAAATAAATCGACGGAATTGTGTAAGAGGGTAAATCGAATCATACCTGGGAAATCGTTAGGATGAGAGCTAGTTTGTGTGAGAGAGGACAGATAGTGAAGGAGGCGCGACGGAGAGCGAGGAAGAAGAAGAAGAAGAAGAAGAGACGGCGTGAAGGCTTTTTTATTAGGGTTGTGCGGCAAATAAAAAATATTGACAACAGTGGTCGAAAAACTTGGTTGCGATTTTAAACATAAACATATTTACCTTTATTTATTTATTTTTCCTCTTTTGCCAAATCTCTTTTTCTTTGCGACCATTCTCATTGTTTGCTCCTTTTGGAATTTGTTGGTTTATTTTTATTTTTCCCAATCACACGCAGTTGTCAGAACGGTACGAAAATCAGCCGGTCAGGAAAAGTGTAGAGATGGACAACAAGAACAAAAAAATTGATTTCTAAAACTTAATTTGAACCAATCCCGTTGAAATTAGTAATGAGTTAATAATTACTTTACATTTTGAGTTTTCTCCAGTAATTAAACGATACAAGTACTGAGCAATATTGATTGTAAACACGGGTGACAAGGATAAGACAACCCAATACTCAAAATCACACAACTTTTCGTTTTTATTAATTCTAATTCGTTGTTTAAAAAAAAAAAGTTTTTGTGGAAAGATGTATTCGGAAGGATTTATCCGGTTAAGAGGATATCCAAGTTGCGGCCAAAATAAATGTTTAAACATGTAAACGAACAAAAAAGCATGTATACCAAACCGAATTAAATTTGGGTCATGCGGAAAAACATTAAGACATCAAGCTGTACCGAGCTTTTTTGCATGGGAAAGACCGGTTCATCATCCCGGAACCCAACTCCAAACCACCATAACTCCAACTGCCGATACTATTACTCATAACCGGTCTTTGACCCGTAACGTGAACCGGAGGGTTTCTCCATTTGGGAGCCGGATCCGGTAAGAGCAGTGACTTAAGCAACTGTCCAGCTTCACTGACAGCTTGACCAAACTTACCGTACTCCGGCAACACTCCTCCGATCGTCTCCAGCACAATGGTCTCAAAATCTCTCCTGTTCTCAGCATTCAAACTCATCTGATTCGCCGAGGCGCTGTAAGAACAAGAATCGGAGATCGCCGGCGAGGAATGACCAGAGGGACTCGAGACAAGATCAAGCGGCGATGCCAATGAGAACCGCGACGGAGAATCGCCGAAGAAGTGGTTGTAACCGCAGTTTTGAAGACGGTTAGTTTCATCTATTATGGCCTCTGGATAAAAATAGCGGGATATCTGCTGTTCGTCGGACAACAAGATGTTGTTGACGAGTTTCTCTAGCTGAGCGATTTGGAGAAGTGAGTATCGCAGACGTTCGCTTGATTCGTCTTTTTCTCGGTGAGCAATTGTCAACTGACAAGATAAATCTTGCAGAATCTCTTGATACATCTTTTCCATTTCTTGACAAAAAAAATTGCTCTGCGCAAATTTCAAAACTTTTTTTTAAAATGGTCACTATATTGAATTGTCTTTCTTATTGAGATTATAAAAGATAAAATCACTTACCTGAAAAATTAAGATCTCTCACGCCAAATCATAGCAGGAGCTTCTTCAATCGAGAATGAGGACGGGATTTTAAAGAAAAGTGAGAGTTTTAAGTAGGCTATTAAAATGTGTCATTAATTAGCATTTCTGTAAATAACAACCCAGCAGATTTTCCTCTTACCAGGCATAATGAACATATGGAAACAAATTGTTTTATCAGTGTCAGCTTTTTATTTCTTAGATCAAAATGCATATTTTACCAATGGATCTTTTAAGTTTTAATTAAGGAAGTTCATTAATTAAAAGGAAATTAAATATACGGTTGCGTTAAAGCATTCCATAAGCGAGATTCCATGTGAGTGAGAGAGTTAGAACAAAAACAAAATATTTTCCGTAGAAAATAAGGAAAAACAATGCAGAGTTCTTTTGGGAAGAAGAAGACAAACACGTTTACACGTGAGTCGTTTAGCACGTGGTTTTTTGTTTCCGGATAATAGGTAGGCCATCCGGTTTGGTCTTCTAGCAAATACCGGGATAAACCTCCCGAAATCCGGTTATCAACTCCAGATAACCAACAACAACAACAAATAAACAGAGTTCTTCTCACAGAGTTGACTGGTTTTCATTAAATTTGGTTTTTTTTTCTAAATTAAAAATCAAAATTTCATAAAACCGGTCGACCCGGTTGACCCGTAAGGCGTAAGAGCAAATTGCAGAGGTCGGAGAAGAGAAAAAAAAAAAGCTGAAGCAATCGATGGAGATAGCCGCCGCGAGCACTGTCACTGTTGCGCCGCAATTGCGCAGATTGTCACATGCCTTATCCAGGACACTTGGATCGGCATCTTCTCTTCCGTTCAGCCTCTCCAGGAGAAACCTCTCCGTCGGGAGTCCTAGTCTCCGCGTGTCAACCGCCTCCATAAGCGCCGTCGCCGCCGAGAAAATGTCGCCGGCAAGTTTCTTAGACAGAAGAGAAAGCGGAGTTCTTCATTTTGTCAAGTATCACGGCCTTGGAAACGACTTCATTTTGGTACGCCACTATACTTTTCTCCTTTTTGATTCCCGATTTAAAATTGCCTAGACTCGATAGAAATGTTAATCGGAAACTACTGTTATGAATTGGGGGAATCCAGGTAGATAATCGGGATTCATCGGAACCTAAGATTACTCAAGAGCAAGCGGTGAAGCTCTGTGATCGAAACTTCGGTGTTGGAGCCGATGGGGTCATCTTTGCGATGCCAGGCATTAATGGCACCGATTACACCATGCGAATATTCAACTCAGACGGTAGTGAACCAGAGGTAAAGCCCTTTCTCTTAAAACTTCGATTGATGGAATTAGCTCGGATTTGAAAGAGCATTTCTGTTTTTTCGTTAGATGTGTGGCAATGGAGTTCGATGCTTCGCCAGATTCATTGCTGAGATTGAGAACCTACAGGGAAAGCATAGGTATATACACAAAGGTTTACTATATATCTTTGTCACACTGTTGCTATGATTCTCATGTTTTTTTTGTCCATGGCAGTTTTACAATACATACTGGTGCTGGCCTGATCATTCCAGAAATTCAAGATGATGGGCAGGTAAAAAAGAAAAAAAAAAACAGCTTTTCATTCAAGTAGAAGATGAAATTTGTGATAAAGTTTTGTTTTTTTTGGTTTCCTCTGTTTAAAATTGGATTGAGATTGATATGGTTGTACAAAGGTTATGGTTGATATGGGAGAACCGATCCTGAGAGCAGAAGATGTGCCCACGAGATTACCGGGAAACAAAGGTGACTCTGTTGTTGCGGCGGAGTTAGTAGTTGATGGAGTCAGCTGGAACGTGACATGTGTAAGCATGGGAAACCCTCACTGTATCACATTTGGCACTAAAGGCGGTCAGGTGCGTGTTCGCTTCTCGTGGTAGTACTAACTTTAAAGGAGATTCTGTCGTGGTGATATATATATTTGAGATGCAAATTGAGTTTGTGATTTTCTGTTTGAATCGACCAGAATCTGAGAGTTGATGATTTGAAGTTGTCGGAGATTGGTCCCAAGTTCGAGCACCATGAGATGTTCCCAGCTCGAACTAACACAGGTTCAGGAGATTCATTCGTAGATAATAATACCTAAAGTTTCTATGGCGGATTCAGCAATATCTGTTTAAACTTTGTCTGCAGAATTCGTTGAGGTCTTGTCACGTTCACATTTGAAAATGCGTGTCTGGGAGCGCGGAGCAGGTTAGCCAAAGTCCAATAAATCCTCTGAATCTGTTTCTAAGTAAATAAAAAATGAAAAATCTGTATATATCTTTATCATATGTACTTAAAAGCATAAGCTAAAAACTGCAGGAGCAACTTTGGCTTGTGGAACAGGAGCTTGTGCTTTAGTTGTTGCAGCAGTTCTTGAAGGTCGAACAGACAGAGTAAGTTTGTATACTTTTTTTCATTTTGGTATATGATTTACGAACCCACATACAAGTTATTAGACAATCAATTAAGACGCAAGAGTTGTGTCAGTCAAAGCAATATTCAGTAGCCTCACCTCACACTTGTAACCATGCTTAAGATTTAAGCCTTGAGAGAGTTGATGTTCCTTCTCCGTTATGCTAGCTTCATTCCTGTTTTCTTATTATGGTGGAATAGAAATGCACGGTGGATCTACCGGGTGGACCGTTGGAGATAGAGTGGAAAGAGGAAGACAACCACATCTACATGACCGGTCCTGCGGATTTGGTGTTCTATGGATCAGCGCTGCTCTAAATGGAGATAGCTATTGTGTTGTTGTGATCTTCGGTATTCTTGTTACTCATCTAGATCTTTGTTGTCTTCTGCATTGTGTTTCGTGGAAACTGCGAGAGATCACATTAGACATTTGATGCGTTGTTGTCTTTATAACAGATTTCTCATTTCTTTGTGGTTTGGTATAAAACACGGTAAAGGTTTTTTTATCTGTGCATTTTGTCTTCAAATCATAGTTGGGTTTTAGTTTAGAATCATTTCTCTACATTATTTCCACAAAGTATTGGCTAATCATTTTTAGTGATACTTTTTTTTAAAAAAAAGGCACAGAAGCCCATCTTATTGATCCACAAAGTACTGGCTAATGATCATTAAAAAGTAGATTAAAAACAAAAAACGTGACCGTTTTCTCCATTTCATGTGAATTTCTTAAGAAAAATTAGAAGAATTCTTTGATTGGAAACCCGAGAGACAACATATCTAATTTTAATTGATTGTAATCAAGAAAATATGAATTCTTAGACAAAATTTGACATGTTTGAACGATTGAACATACATTAGTTGAAAATCATACTTGTCTAATGGCCAAGAATTTACATTATATTCATATCTTCACCGACCATTGGGTTAATTTATAGTTGTTTTTTTTTTACTTTTGAAAAGCGAGGTTAGTACTGGTCGAGTAATTCGAATTTGGAACAAGCCGGACCCACATTTCTTCTCTTTGATACACTACGCTCCGAGATTCCCCAACGGTTACTCACCTCAGTTTTTCAAATTTGAAACACGAAAAAATATTCAGAAAAAAAAAAATAGAGAAAGTTTCATCTTTCGATCTCAAAGATCCCTACATCTTTTTGTGTTCGATTCGATTTTTTCTTCCTACGGGCTCCACTGCAATTTTCGTCTGCGTTTCCGTAAGTGAATCTCTTGCTCTGTATATTCGTAAACGATTCTGAACTTAAACTTTCTAAATCGATTAGCGAACCATCACAGGCTTCACTATACCTAATCTCTCGCTTGAATTTGAAAATTTGAATTCTCAGAAAATCGAAGATCAGTGATGTCGTTTACTCCCGAGCTTTCAAGGAAAAGCGGATTAGGAGTGATCCCATCTCCTGCGCCGTTCTTCACTCCTCGTCCCGAGAGAAGACGACCTGATTCTTTCTCTAGCCGCCTCGAAAGAGACAAAGAGGTCAACGTTCAAGTGATTCTACGATGCAGGCCACTAAGTGAAGACGAGCAGAAATCAAATGTCCCCAGAGCGATATCTTGTAACGAGCAGAGAAAAGAAGTGAATGTTCTTCACAGTGCCACTAATAAGCAAGTGGACCGTGTTTTCACTTTCGACAAGGTTATTATATCCTCTCCTTGGTTTTGGTATTACTTTAAGTTTATAGATTTGGTCTTTTTAGTGTGATGGATTTAAAATGTTTCTGTATTTTTCTAGGTTTTTGGTCCTAAAGCACAACAACGATCCATATATGACCAAGCCATTGCTCCCATTGTTCATGAAGTCTTGGAAGGTTTTAGCTGCACTGTGTTTGCTTATGGACAAACAGGAACTGGGAAGACTTACACTATGGAAGGCGGGATGAGGAAAAAGGTACACAACACAAACGAGATGTCCTCTTTTTGATTGTCTCATTTTTGAGTTTTCCTGTTTCTGCTTTTGATCTGTGAAAATTGATTGTAGGGTGGAGATTTACCTGCGGAGGCCGGGGTGATTCCGAGAGCTGTTAGGCATATCTTCGAGACTCTCGAGGCGCAAAACGCTGACTACAACATGAAAGTAACCTTCTTGGAACTGTACAACGAGGAAGTCACAGACTTGTTAGCTCAAGACGAGTCTTCAAGATCCTCTGAGGATAAGCAGAGGAAGCCCGTTTCTTTGATGGAAGATGGGAAAGGTTGTGTGGTTTTAAGGGGTCTTGAGGAAGAAGTTGTGTACAGCGCTAACGATATATACGCTCTTCTTGAACGGGGCTCATCGAAAAGACGAACCGCGGATACTTTGTTGAATAAGCGAAGCAGCCGCTCTCATTCGGTTTTTACAATCACGGTCCATATTAAGGAAGAGTCTTTGGGAGACGAAGAGCTGATCAAATGTGGCAAGCTTAACCTTGTGGATCTTGCTGGATCCGAGAATATCTTACGCTCGGGATCTCGGGATGGTCGTGCTAGAGAAGCAGGGGAGATAAACAAGAGCTTGCTTACACTTGGCCGTGTGATCAACGCGCTTGTGGAGCATTCTTCTCATATACCTTACAGGTTCTTGCCCTTGTCCTTAGTCCTTGCAACTATATGAATAATATTTGTGTGTGTCTGTGAGTGTTGGAGTGTGATTGTGGATATTCTTCTTTGCAGGGATAGTAAGCTGACAAGGCTTTTACGAGACTCTCTAGGCGGGAAGACGAAAACTTGTATCATTGCTACAATCTCTCCATCTGCTCATTCCTTGGAAGAAACGTTAAGCACTTTGGACTATGCATATCGTGCCAAGAACATCAAGAACAAACCAGAGGTTTTGTTTACGCTACCATATATCTTAATTTGATGTTATCAATGTACCATTTGTTTTCATCCTTCTAACTTAACTTGTCTCTGCAGGCAAACCAGAAATTATCCAAGGCTGTGTTGCTTAAAGACCTTTACTTGGAGCTTGAGAGAATGAAAGAAGGTTTACTACACACATAATATATCTGTCTATATTCTTCAGTTTTCACTTATGCATATCATCAAATGAGCTAGTCGTTTGGTTATAACTTCTGTACGATTGACGCAGATGTAAGAGCGGCAAGGGATAGAAACGGTATCTACATCGCACAGGAAAGATATGCACAAGAAGAGGCTGAAAAGAAGGTAGGTTCAAACTTCAAAGGACGAGCCTTGAGTTTTTATTCACTTCATGCTTGGATTAGTGATTATTTTGTTTCAGGCGAGAATCGAGAGGATAGAGCAGCTGGAGAATGATTTAAATCTCACTGAAAGTGTACGCATGCCTCACCTTTCTCTCTTCAATTTACTAAACTAGTTCTCTGCGATGGAACTTAAGGGCCTTCTCTTATGCAGGAAGCTTCCAAGTTCCGTGACCTTTATATGACTGAGAATGAGAAGTTACTGGATGTGGAAAGTGACCTTAAGGACTGCAAGGTGATAAGGACTTTAGTGATTTGGTTTCTAGATTACTCATGTTTTCAATGAGAGTTTTCTTGATTGTTTAAACATTTATGGTCCAGAGAAACCTAGATAACAATAACAAGGAGTTGCTTGCTCTCAAAGAGAATTATAGCCAAGTTGTCTCAAAGTTAAAGGAAAGGGAAGCCATTATCTCCAGAATGAAAGTCTCAGGTAACAACTTAGAGGCTTCCGCTTTCTTTGGTTTGTTTGTTGCTTGATTTCGTTTTACTGATATTTTCTTGCACAGAGACTTCTTTGATCGACCGTGCAAAGGGGTTACGTTCTGATTTGCAGCATGCGTCAAATGATATAAGTTCGCTGTTCACAAGATTAGGTACTGCTTCTTTCCTATGTCTACGGCTGAAAACAAGATCTGTTAAGTGCTGATTTACTTAGTTTTCTGCAGACCAAAAGGACAAGTTGGAATCCGAAAACCAGAGCATGCTTCTGAGATTTGGTTCACAGCTTGATCAAAACCTTAAAGATTTGCACAGAACAGTTCTTGGATCAGTCTCTCAGCAGCAGCACCAATTAAGAACTATGGAAGAACATACTCACTCATTTCTTGCTCACAAATATGATGTAAGTAAAGACTACAACACCATGTCCTTTCACGTCTTGCTTTGGATCATTTGATCACAGTAGTGGTTGATTTATTCACGCAGGCAACACGCGATCTTGAGTCACGAATTGGGAAAACAGCAGATACATATACTTCAGGAATAGTAGCCTTGAAGGAACTCTCTGAAATGATACAAAAGAAAGCCTCCTCTGATCTGGAGAACATGAACTCCTCTATAGGATCACAAATAGAGGCTGTTGAGCAAGTAATGAACAAAAGATCCAAGTGTTTTTTTGCTTTTCAGCGTTTGTTTAAGGCGATAAATTCAAGTGTTTTTTTTTTTCTTTCTCTTCTCAGTTTCTCATTGCATCAGCAACAGAGGCTGCTAAAGTCTCTCAAGACATTCGAGATTCACTTAATGATCAGAAGAAGCTCTTAGCTCTGGCTGCAAGACAACAAGAGCAGGTTTTGTAAAATCATTTGCTGGTTTTCTTGTTAGTTTAAATTATATTTCTGAAAAAACTCAACTTCGTTTCCTACTTATCCAGGGCTTGATCAGAAGCATGAGATCTGCACAAGAAATTTCCAACACGACTTCAACCATCTTCAGTAACATCTACAACCAAGCTCAAGGCATGGTGGAAGCCATTAGAGATAGCCAAGCAGAGAAATCAAGACAGCTTGCTGCTTTTGAAATGATGTTTAAGGTGAGTTTTGGACAAACTCTTCAAAAAAGTTTAATTACATATATTTTGAGAGGTTCACACGATACTCGTCCTTACTAATAAACAGGAAGAGGCTGAAAGAGAGAAGAAACAAGCATTAGATGACATCAGTCTGATATTATCAAAGTTAACTTCAAAGAAAACTGCAATGGTGAGTATTTGCCCATTAATAACCCCATAAGACCACAACTCTTCATCCGTTGAATCACACAAGTCTGATCCTTAACACGTTTTTAGGTCTCTGATGCATCACGAAGTATCCAGGAACACGACCTACAGGAAGAGAAGAGACTGCAGGAACAAATGTCTGGTATGCAGCAAGTTTCGATTGGCGCAAAGGAGGAATTGTGTGACTATCTAAAGAAAGCAAAAACACAGTTCACGGAAAACACAATAGCTTCAGCAGAGTCTATCACAGTCATGGACAGTTACCTTGAAGATTGGTACAAACCCACATCTCCTCACTACTGCTTTCGATCCACATTCTAGTTTTTTTTTTCCTTCATACAAACATTGTCTGGATTGCAGCCTAGGAAGAGCCAGTGAGTCTAGAA